GGGTTGGCAAAGTGGTTTATAGGCTTGAGCTTCTGGAGGAGCTTAGCCGGATTCACAGCACGTTCCATGTTTCGCAGTTACAAAAGTGCATCATGGACCAGGAGGCGGTAGTATCGCTGAATGACATTCAGGTCGATGAGCGCCTGAACTATTTGGAGAGGCCTGTGGTCGTCTTGGAAAGGAAGAAGAAGATTTTGAGAAACAAGGAAATACCTTTGGTGAAGGTGAAGTGGGAACATCTGTGGGGATCCGAGTAGACATGGGAGCTGGAGGCAGAGATGCGCGAGCACTACCCAACTTTGTTTATTGCAGAGGACTTCGAGGGCGAAGTCTAGTTTAAGTGGGGGAGAATTGTAACGCCTTGATTCTCAGGTATGGATTTAAATAAAGAATTTCTTTAGTTTTAGGTCCGATTCAACAAGTTAAGGCTACCCTACTCGTCGAGTAGCAGCAAAATGGGATCATGGATTTAGTGATGTACTCGCCGAGTCCACAAAGGGAATCAACAAGTAGGGGCTGGCAAATGAAACCCTAAATTTCGGGGCATTTCACCCTTTTTCAAGGATCATTGGCCACCCCCTAGGCTCCCCTTCACTGCCTCTTGTCCCTCTAAAGTCCAAATTGTGTGTGTGTGTGTGAGCTCATCTTGTGCATCTTTAGCTTGAAGGAGGAATTCTTGAAGAGAAAAAAGCTTGGAGACCAAGCATTCAGAAACAAGGAGCTTGAAGGACCAAAGATCTACTATGGTTAGCATCTTCTGGAAGGTATAAATCGTTACCCTAACCTCATTCACTCTTTTGGGCAACTTCTAGGGTTTTCATCGTGTGCTTGGAAGCTACTCTTCTTTACAACCTCAGATCTGAAGTTGTAACTTCATAACTGAGCTCCTTTAGGCTCCTTAGTACATAAAGTTTCTAGGTTGTGCAAAAATGTGACTCTCCCAAGGTGTAGAACTCCATTAGAAGCATATATTGGTCATTTAGATCCTTTAGAACCTTGCATGTGCATAAAGTTTTCAACTTTACGTGATAAACATGCCTTAGAGGCTTGGATCTGCAATCTGGACCCTTGCCATGGCTTAAAAAACGTCTGCATGGATGGAGGTCTGCGAGGACTCAGCGAGTTGGATGAACAACTCGGCGAGCCCAATGAATTTGGCCGTGAACTCGGTGGGTTGATGAACAACTCGTCGAGTCCGTTGAAGTTTGCCTTGAACTCGTCGAGTTGTTAGAAAACTCGGCGAGTCGACTAAAGTTCCCCGTTTCTTGGACACGTATGAGCTAGGCGATTTAAAGGATGACTCGATGAGCCAATCAAGGATCTCACGACTTCTCGAGTCCAGAAGGGACTCGACGAGTCGGTGAACTGCACTCGACGAGTCGAGTCAACATGGACTGTTGACTTTGACTGTGGGTGTTGACTTTGACCACGAATTGACCAGATGACTTCTAAGGGTATTCTTATAATTTGGGAATTTATGAAAAAGGGTTGTATGGCAATTATAGGTAGTGAAGTTTGTGTTGGTGATTCGGGAGTTGAAGCTTTCTATTTTTCTGACGTCAGTTGCAAGGCGAGTTATTCTCACTATACTAAGGGGTCTAAGGCAGCAAGGTCGACCCATTTGATTTAATATCCTAGTAGTTATTGATATGTTGAGTTGAGTCAGTAATGTATGTCAGTTCATATGCTAGTCGAGTAGATCTGTAGGACTGACTGTGATACTGATTGATTACATGTATGTGCATTTATCTGTTACATGTCGACATACTGAGGACCCGTGTTGTAGCCAACAAACCCGAGAGTATTCCAGATATGATTTGAGGGCCCGGTAGGCATTCCAGACTCATATTGAGGACTCGGGAGCATTCCAGATACGAGCTGAGGGCCCGACAGGCATTCCAGACTCGTACTGAGGGCCCAGGGGTAGTCCAGCTTGTAAAGCTGTTGACCCAGTGCATGTTGTTCTGTTTGGATTGATATGATATGTTAATATTGATGTTGCTATGTAGACTGTATGTGTATCGGTATTTTGGGGGTAATTCACTAAGCTTTCGGACTTACAGTTTTAGTTTATTGTTTCAGGTACTTCAAGGGATCGAGGCAAGGCCAAGGCGTGATCGTACAACTCCTCCTATATTGTTTATGTTTCTGGGAAAAACTCTGATAATCAATATTTTGAAAACAAATTGTAATGTTTTGATGAACTTGATATGTTTAAAAAAAAAGTTTAAATTGGTTTGAAATTTTAGATCTTATAGAATTTGCAAGGGATTGACTACCACAGACTTTGTGATGGAATCCTACTACGGAATACACGATGGAATACCATCTACAACGGATTTCATTCCGGTGTCACATTTGTGACAAAATGGTTGCTTCACTAGAAAACCCTCACTATGGGGTTTTTTGGGACGGAAATCGGTCGTCACAAATTTCGTCGCTATATGTCTTTTGCAATGGAATTTCATCTTTTCGCAATGGATTCCGTCACTAGCAAAATCGTGTCTTTCATGTAATGAAAGTGTGGTAACCGTGCACGCAGGGTGTACCAAAGGGTACGTTGCGCGTACGTGGTCAGCGCCTCGACTCTGGTCAAACACATAGTACTCCCCACGTTCTTGTTGTGTACGCCCAATGTACTTACTGAGTTGACCCGGTTGACTCGGTTGAATATGAATTTGACCATGAGTTTAACCAAGTTTGACCTACGGGTATTTTGGGTATATTGATTATAAGGTAAGTTTGGTCATGTTCCAATTAATAGATGACTGGTAGAGCTGATATTCAGAGCAGTGTCCTGTTCAACGATCTTTCAGATTGAGAGGTGAGTCTCGTCGCTATACTAAGGGGTCGAAGGTACCAATATCGAGACACAGGATTATGTTATGTAGAAAGATCAGGTGATGACACCTGGTACTTGCATGAAAGACGTAGATACGGCTCCCGATAAATTATAAACAAGAGTAGGGTTTAGACCTTGGCAGTTATATGTAGTATTTTAGTTTTCTTTGTAATACTTGCATAGAAGACCAGGAGTTGGCTCTTGGCACTTGTTCGTAAGACCCAGGGTTTGGCCCTCGGCCTGACAAGTAAATACCATGATACGATTCACGGCATAATGGCAATTATAAGACTATGGATGACACATTTCAATCTCTATTGTATGTATGATATGTGGATTTTTAGGCACTCACTAAGCTTTGTGCTTACGGTTTTATGTTAATGGTTTCAGATACTTTCGATATAAAAGGGAATGGCCCAGCATGACTATACCCTATCAATTAGAGTTTTCCGCATTGGCAATTTTCAATATTTACTCTAATGTTCAAGTAATATATTCACTTTGTTCGGTTTTGTAAAAACTTATTTGTATGGTTTATTGTTTTAAAAATGAAAACTTTACTATGAATTCTTGAGACATTACAAAAACAAGGCTTTTGTCTTAAATGAGAGAATAAAGTATCTACTTATTCTTACATTGATCTTAACTATTTAAGAGACAAAACGGAAGAGAGTATGGATAGGGGTAAAAACCTCAAAAATCATCAAGAAAGGAATGAGATGTAAGCCTCTTAAACACTTTAAGAGTAGTCTTCACCAATTGAGTTTCTTCACTCTACGAACCATACCTCTAGTAAATAAAAGCTTAAACAATATGGAGTATGTCCTTATTATTAAACAAGTAAAACAAGATTTATTTCCACCACAGTTGTGCTAGCTCCTGGTTTGTAGAAGAAAAGAGGAGAAGAAAAGTGTGATGCTTGCAAGAATAATAAAATAGGTAATATGGTAACATTTAAAATTTTCACTTGAAAAGAATTTTAATTCCTTAATTTTTTTGGTGGAATTTATTATTCATCATTAGAAGGAAAATTTGACTAATTTAGAAATCCAATTATCCTTTTGAAAGTTTGAACCAAATTAAGAAAAGTGATGGAATTAGATTGTAATTCCTTTTAATTCCAATGGATTTGACTCATTTATGTCCATGTTTTAATGATTAAAATGAACACATTCCTAGAAAACATGTTTTTCTTGTTAAAAATAAAGGATATGAAGTGTAATGACTAATTTGTATTATTTGACTTTCAAATAAGAAAATACACATACTTTTATTTTATTCTTTTATACCTCTCATTTAAGAAAATCACTCCTTATCACTAAACCAATGACCATTTGGTAAGCACTGCCTTTCACATAGTAAGTTTTCCATAAAAAAAAAAATAAAAAAAAAAAAAAAACAAGCATTAACTGTATTCATCACATGTTAAATTAATAAGCTTGAGCTACATAGATGATATGCGTCATCTAATATACGACTGAATATAATGCATGGTTTGTGTGTAACCTTCCTTTCATTTTACGAAGTGGTTGACTTAATATGCCTGCTTACATAAAACATCCTACGAGTAAATTTTTACCAAATAATAGAAACATAATCAAGTCCAGTAATTAGCGAAATAGACAAAAGAAAAGTTGAAAAGTCGAAAAGAGAATCCAATGCATATTGGTTCCGTATATAATGATCGTATTTGGATTTTCATAACGCTGTTTTATTATCCTAAATTATGTGTATTCGTTGTTATATCTATATCCCGTTTTACATATTAACTGAATCACATAAAAGTCATAGTGTAAATAAAAAGCTACAAAACAATATACATATTCGAGTTAAGTTTATTCGAGTTAAGTTTCTTGATTTTCTCTCTCTGGATGAGAGAGAAATAGAGTTGAAAGATATTAAGTATATATACATAGAGTACATACATATCACTACTCATCTCTGGTCTCTACTTCTTGCATTTTGCAAAGAAAACAAGAAAACACTCGTATATTCTTCAAATCACACTGAGATGGGTCCAATATTGTTGTACTCTACATAAATTTAGAGCTTTTTCATGTGAAGACACGATCCGGATCTGCCGCGCCTTCTCCTTTCACAATTGCCTTCTACCTTTCCCACAGACACACACACTCTCTCTCATCCTCTCAATAGAGAGGAGAGAGAGAGAGAGAGAGAGAGAGAGAGAGAGAGAGAGAGAGAGAGAGAGAGAGAGAGAGAGAGGAGAAGAAGGAGGGTGGGAGCCTTATCTTAAGATAATTTTTTTTTCAGAACGAAAAGACCTAAGGAAATGGAGGAACAGTACGGGATAACGGATCTGACTCACTACATGAACGGAAGAGTCTTCACCGCCGTCCCTCAGCCACCATCTCAGCCTCAGCAGCCTCCTCATGATCTTCACTATGATATGGTGATGATGGGTGGTGGAGGAGGTGGTGGTGGGATGATGTTTCGATCAGATTCCACCACCGGTACAGGCTCAACCACTGCTAGTCTTAGCGCTGGTGGTGGTGGTTTAGAGATGGAAATTGGCGGCGGTTTAGAGATGGAAATTGGTGGTGGTAGTGGTGGTGGAAATGGTAGGTGGCCAAGGCAAGAAACTCTCACACTTCTGGAAGTCAGATCAAGGCTTGATTCTAAGTTCAAAGAAGCTAATCAGAAAGGTCCTTTGTGGGATGAAGTTTCAAGGTATCTCTATTCTCTCTCTCATAATTTTCTTACTACTCATCTTTCTCCTTCCTCCTCATCATCACCATCATCTTCATCATCATCATTATCATCATCATCATCATCATAAACTTCTTTGCTTTTTCTCTTTTTGTCGCTCCAAACTATCACAGACCGTTGTTTCCGTAAATATTGACCATTAGCTTTTGTTACAGACCTCATCTTTTTCTATTGTTCAAAGAAAATTATTTCGGTATACATGGTTTAGTCGAATTGTATTTGAGTGAAATTTTGTTATACAACGCTAAATCATACAACCCAACTTCAAGAAACTCAATAATTTGCAACTCCCATCAAAAAAACATTCTCTATTTCAATCTTTTTGTTGTTCTATTTGCTACATATATATATATATATATATATATTTCTTTCGTAAACAAACCTTTTAATCTTCTACTATTTTTTGAAGTGATTTATGTTTTTTGATCTGAAATCCATAGCTTTGAGGCTATTTATTTTTTTCTTTTGTGACAGACTTTTTCACTTGTTTCAGTTAACTAAAGTACTAGCTCAGTCTAGAAAAGGCTTACGAGAACTTACCATTCATAAAGTCTCCAATTTGGGGTTAATAGTATGCTCAGTTCAGGAAACCACATGAAACTTGTACTCCTTAGCAAAAATCACTATCACTTCAATCTTTTCTCTTTTCTTGTCATTAATTTTCTTGATTTTACATTCTTCATATTTTATTTTATTTTATTTCCTCAGGATAATGTGTGACGAACATGGGTATCAACGAAGTGGGAAAAAATGCAGAGAGAAGTTTGAGAACTTGTACAAGTATTACAAGAAGACTAAAGAAGGAAAAGCTGGAAGACAAGATGGGAAACATTACAGGTTTTTTCGACAACTAGAAGCTCTTTATGGCGAAACCACCATTAGTATTAGTCCTAATCTGAATCCTAACCCTAACCCGTCATCCTTTTCGGATCCTCATAACTTTAATGTCGAAACGAGTGCTTTTCAAGGTCATCAACACCCAAATAATAGTAGTTTTCAAGAACCCTTTCAAACCGATCATTCAAGGTTGTGTGACGATAGTCCTAGTCTCTCTAACAATTCTTCTGCTTTCGCCACTTCTTCATCTGGCTACAGCAATCCAAACACAGCCATGCCTTCGTTCAAGGAAAACAAGGATTATGGAGATAGGGCAACTAACAAGAAAAGGCTTGGAAAAAGGAGTTGGAAGACGAAGATCAAGGACTTCATTGATTCCCAAATGAGGAAAATCATGGAGAAGCAAGAGGAATGGATGGAGAAGATGATGAAGTCCATTGAACAGAAGGAAGAAGAAAGGGTTTTACGAGAGGAACAATGGAGGAAAGAAGAAGCTGCTAGGTTCGAAAAAGAGCACAAGTTCTGGGCCAACGAACGAGCATGGATGGAGTCCCGAGATCATGCTTTAATGGAGGCGTTACACAAGTTAACCGATAAAGAATCATGTCATAAGTCTTCTCCCGATGAACAAAACCTACAAGATCATCACCATGGGAGTTGGGATGAAAATGAGATCACAAGGTTAATACAGCTACGAACAAGTATGGAAAGTAGGTTCGAACAAGGTGCGTATATCCAAGAGCTTCTTTGGGAGGAAATCGCAACAAAAATGGCTTGTTTGGGTTACAGCAGGAATGGCGTAACATGCAAGACGAAGTGGGAAAGCATAAATGACTTCTTGATGAGAACGAAAAAGAGAAAAGAGAATACAAGAAGTTCCAACTCGTATACTCACCATAATACCGAATCTCTTTCTCACAACATTCATCATCAGATCGGAAGCTATCGTCAAAACAATGAACGATTGGTTGCATCCAACGATCAACCGAATGATGGTAATTACAGGTTTGTGATGGGTGATCCTGAGAATATGTGGGATGGATATGGGATGAAGGTCAACAAGGGTGAAGATCATTAGGCTATCATTATTAAGGGTGTGGTAGGTAGCTAGCAGTTTGTTCGCTTTAGGGAAGATATGGTTGACTATTTAGTCGGTGGGAATGAAGTTGATATTTAATTAACCAAGTCTCGTATGGAAATGGGAAGTGTGAATAAAGTGACATTTAGTTTCTTTTTTATTATAAATGAGATTATTAATTAGTATATGTATGAAAGTATCTAAGATAAACATGTTAGGAATCTATGAACCATTTTTTTCGTACGTAATATTTATGGAATTTATGTTAATCTTGTTAGATTTTTCATAAATTTCTTGTCAAACATTACTAGCGATCACGGAGTGCTATACGTTACCTTAGAAGAGACTAAACGATGTTATGTGGTCATGCCAGAATGTTGTGTTGGTGACGCACCATATATAGTCTTACATCTTTTGTAGGACGTGAAAGGGACTTATCAATTCTAACCGTATACAGTTTTCATTTTTCAAGTCAATGACATGTTAATCATTTTATATACATTTTTATTAAAAACTAATCGTGGTCCATGTAAAATTTTAATTATGATAAAATGAAAGAGTTATTAACTAAAATACCATATTTTAAGGTAGTGTTTGAGCATAAAATATCATTTTCTAGATTTTAAGTAAATGACTACAATAATCACCAGAAAATGAGTATGAACTCGTGGAAATGTTTTGCATGACTTGAATTGATCAGATAACTTTAGCAAAAATGATTATTTTCCGTGAAAATTATTTATGATGGATACACAGTTCCCAACAAAATAAGGCACAGGATTGATTCACGAACCATGTTTCTGGTTTGTGACTATTGATATTTTGCTCGTTTGCAACATATCGTTTCACCATGCGCATATGCAGTTGCAGTTCATTATATTTCAAGAGTTGTGGATGGGGTATATCGTTAGGTATTTATCTTATCCTTTTCTTGACCATTAAATATTATAACTAAGAATAATGTCGAAAAGAAATGAAAACATTACAAAGGAATAGCTAAAACTTGATTTTTAACAAGAATCTCAATTGACTTTAAATTTGCAATCCGTGTAAACAAGCAATTTATTGAATGGCTACTAATCAAATTTAAGATAAATAAACATAAACCTCTGGAATGCCTTCCTAATTATTAATCCTAGTAGGCTATATGCCCTTTACACTTATGAGTCTGGTGTGTGTATATATATATATATATATATATATATATATATATATATATATATATATATATATATATATATATATATATATATATATATATATATATATATATATATATATATATATATATATATATATATATATATATTAACTAAATTTTTTTTATTATCTATTACCACTAAACTATTGACATTGGTCACATTTGAACCGATAACTCTAGCAAAAGTGATTATTTTACATGAAAATTAGCTAATTGTGTATTTTTGTTAAGTTTTAATAACATCTGTTGATATACAAATCTATGAAATAAATAAATAAATAAATAAATAAAAAACCACGAAAAAGGTATAAAAAAACCAATGGGTTGGTATTTTTCGGTTGCTGGCCTACCTTTTCGGTCTCTTTCAACTGGTCACTGTCTACCATATCTGAGTGTTGGCCTACCTCTTAGGTCTTTTTCAACTGGTAACTGCCTAGAATATCTGGGTGTTAGCATATCTCTTCGGTCTCTTTCAACCGGTTACGGGGTCTATTTCACCCATACCACTACCATATAATATCGTAGCATATAAGAACATAAATCACATACTGCCTAGCATATCTAGGTGTTGGCCTACCCCTTCGGTCTCTTTCAACCAGTAACTACCTAGCATATATGGGTGTTGGCTAACCCCTTCGGTCATTTTCAACCGGTTACGAGGTCTATTTCACCCCCTTACCACTACCACATAATATCCTAGCATACTCGCACATAAATCTCAATAGATAGTGGCATACTCAAGGGACAAATTGGTCACGTAAAGTTCCCATCTTGCTCGCAGGCATGACCTAATGGGGCTTAGAAAGCCGAAATGATGGTCCAAAGGTTGCATGGGACTTCCAAGGCCAGAAAGTTGGCAGATTTATTCCATGAAGTCCCCTCATGTCCCTAGATCTGAAGGGTTTGCCCAAATGGGACTTCTAAATACCAACAACCAATATACTTGGACCAAAACATGAAAGAAAGCATGCTAAAACTAGATCGAAGCATGCCATGGACAAGATTAAAGCTTTATATCTCAGAAGAATAAAAAATGAAGCCCAACTTCTGTATCTACTCTCCTCTTACACTTTCTTGCTCCTCCTTCAAGCTTCTTCTTCTTCAAACTTACCAAGAATGCACAAGATTAGCCTACAATCACCAAAATGGCTGAGGGTTTCGAGATTAGGTTTTGGACAGTGTAGACTTGAGATGAGGCCAATAACTTGGGATTAAGGTGTTTAAAGAGGGTGAAAAACCTCGGAAGTAGGGTTTCATTTTACCCAGCCAACTCGTCATGTTAAGGTCTCCCAACTCGTCGAGTTGGGTTCCTGAAATCCGCGGTCTGTATAATCTCTGCACGACGAGTCTGGGGCTTCCGAATCGTCAAGTTGCTCTATAAAAATCAATAAATTGTAAGTTTAAATACATACCAGGAACCAGACGTTACATTTATACATATAATGTTGCATAGTTTTATAACATAAAACTTATACATATAATATTGGTTTCATTTTTTGTTTTTTATACCTTTTTCGGTGTTTTGTTTTTTTATTTCATAGATTTCTTCATCAATAGATGTTATTGAAATTTAACAAAAATACATAATTAGGTAAACCATAAATACAAGAGGAAATTTGTTCAGATTTAGTCATTGAACTTTTTTGAGAGGGAAATGAACTTTTTTGAGAGGGAAATGAACTTTTTTTCATTATATATTGGCCACTAAACTATTGAAACTATTCACATTTTACACTTAGGATCGGTTGTTGCCGATCAAAAGGCTAAAATGTGAACAGTTTCAATAGTTCAATGATAAATAGATAATGAAAAAAAGTTTATTGACTAAATGTGAACAAAATCAAAAATTCATTACCCTTTCAAGTCATTATCCCATATATATATATATATATATATATATATATATATATATATATATATATATATATATATATATATATATATGTGTGTGTGTGTGTGTGTGTGTGTGTGTGTGTGTGTGTGTGTGTGTGAAGTGGTTTAAATAAGAACCATAAAAAAATAAGAATCCTAAGAACCTCTATTATTTAAATAAATATGTATGTCAGTACTAATTAAAGATGTTTAAAATCATGATATTTGTCTTTTTGGTAAGAAAGTAACAAAATCATAATTTTTATTGTATAATATTTTCATTTATACCTTCATTAATATTTTAACACGCAATTTATATGAATACAACTTATTACAATCCAGTTATACTTTACTATAAAAAATTTACAATTTAATACAATTTATTTTACAATAATTTACATATTTAAAGAAGGTAAACCAAACTCTATCACCACAACTACACGCTACCATTAACCATCTGTGCCGCCCTCACAGTAACCATTCATTAAAAATCATACATGTACATAAAGTCATGCATTTACAACTTAAACACATTATTCATCGTTTAATAAACATATTAATTTACTCACTTTTAATTTAATGCAAAACAATTATATAAAAATAAATCTATCATTACATAGTTATACAACACAAAAATAAATATATTCGTAAGAAAATTAATTAAAAAATTCATACATAATATTTTAACACGAAGTTATATAAAATTTTCACAATTTAATAAAGTTAATTTATAACTTAATACAGTAAATTACAGTTTAATATACAAAAATTCACAACTTAATATTACAAATTCATAATTTAATACACAAAAATGTTATATATTCTTAATATAAAACTTATATTTATAACTTCATATAAAAATATTCATAGTTTAATACACAAAAGTGACAATTTAATACAATAAATTGATAGTTTAATAAACAAAATTATAAATTCACAGTCAAATTTTCAACTTAAAACATATATTTATACATTTATATTTGAAAGCATTTATGCGTATTAAAATATGAATTTATCATATTAAGCTTAAATGGTACATTCACAGTTTAATAAACACATTAATTTACTCATTTTGAATTTAATGCAAAACATTTATCTAAAAACTAATACTTTCTTACATACTTATGCAACAAAAAAATAAATATATTTACAAGAAAATTAATAAAAAAATTCTTGCATAAATAATTAATGTTTTAACACAAAATTATACCTAATACAATCAATTCACAGCTAAATACAGTAAATTACAGTTTAATACACAAAATTCACAACTTAATATGAGAAATTCATAATTTAATATATAGAAATGTTGTATATTCTTAACTTAAAACTTATATTTAATATAGTCAATTCATAGTCTAATATACAAAATTAATAGTCTAATACAATAAATTCATAGTTTAGTACATAAAAATTATATCTGCATAGTCATATTCTCATCTTAAAACATATATTTATACCTTGATATCTTGAGACATTAATGTTTATTAAAATATGAATTTATTATATTGAGTTGTTAATAAAATTCACTGGTTAATTTACAAAATTCATAGTTTAATATACTACATTCACATCTCATTTACATATATGAAATTCATATATAGATAAAAAAAATCATAATTCACAGTTTAATAAACACATTTCAGATACAAATTCAAAACTTAATTAAATATTGCAAACACTAAATTTCACAACTTAATGGCTCAAAAAATTAACATCCATTGTATAATACACACTTCAAACACAAATTCACAGTTTAATACAAGGTTTTAAACACTTATTGATAACTTCAAAACTTATGCATCTCATTGCAACATTTGGTCAAACATCTTATGTACATATTGTTTTCAAATCTGATGTGATTTAAACATCTGCTTCAAATTTAAAATGTTGATGGCAATCGATGAGTTTTCCAGCAATTTAAGGC